CCTTTTCTGAAATGCGATTTTTACGACATGCTTCAATAAAATTAATTTAAATGAAAACCACCGTGAGTTAAGTCAAAAATTAATATTTCCTCCAAAGAGGGCATTATGAGCTTTCTTTTGATACCAAAGTAGTTTCTTAAATACGAAAAAAATTGTTTTGCGTATATGAAATGTTCCAAATAGTTTTTCTGAAAATGACCATTTTACATAACAAAATTTCCTATAACCATAGATAAAAGGACTCCTTTTATCTATGCTATAACTTTAAAAAAAAAATCGTAGATGCATGGGACTTGCACCAAGTTATTCGGAATTTAATAAGGAATTAAAATATATATATACATATATATACTGTATAGCTCAAAATCTAAAATTCCCGCCAAGAGGTCCCTATTCGCTTTCCACATCACTAATATAGGAAATCCAGGGAGGTTGCAGATAAAGGACATTTCCCTCTATCGTTTAAGAATGAGTTTCAATCAGCCTACTTTATAAAAATTAGTTTGTAAGTCTAAGCTGAGAAAGAAGTAAATGTGTTTTTTTTCATATAATTCACAGTAAATATGTGTATTTCATTAAATAAGAATTCCATTTAAGGACTGGGCTTTATTTTGTTTACGGCACAAGTAAACAAATTAAATGTATGGGTCCGATAAATTAGTAAGATTTGTACCGGAATGAGTTTAATATCCCCGCCGCAGCATATCTGCCGTCTAAAAGGCGCGGATTAAAATGTGTCAAATGTAGGATATGACTATGAGCGGTCGTATGGCACTTTATGTCTTAGATTCGTATGTAATATTAGGAAATAAATGAGCTTTTCAAACGATTTTATTGATTTATAGCAATCTTGAAATAGTTTTAAAACAATTGCAATTATTTATGTATAGTATAACTGATAGTGATATCGATAAACAAATATCTCTAGCATTAAAACAATACTACCAATACTTAACCAACAACATCGGGTTTTGAACGTTTTTGATTTAAAGATTTATCGTCTTAAAATATGCATAATGATTTTCTTAAATTCCTTATTATAATGGAGTAGAGAAATGTGGTTCTGTAATCTAATTTCATAAGAGTTAACAAGCAAATTTAAAAATTGTAATAACTGAACTACAAAACCAACAGTAATAATATTTATTTAACTTTCGAAATTCTAATTTATGTTTAACATTGATGGTATGAGAATTCAAATATTAACATTTGAATTCACTAATAAAACACGAATAAAGAAATGGAAATGAAACACTTTATCCAAACCTAAATTATATTTAAACGTTTAATTTGGTTAAGTGACTTCCTGTGAACAAATGCAGGGGTACGAATGGTAAAAATATATTATTTGAAGGGAATGTTTAGGACATATTAATTTGTGATATAAATCAGCAACACTTGATCACCTTTAAATAATGATGCCGAGGTAAATACATACAATGAGTATGATTCTCCACAATTTTGGCATTACCAGCTACTAGATGTGAAGCTCAGCCTAAATCCCCGTGAAATATCACACATAAAACGGAAACAACTTTGAGAGTTCTTGGACGAAACTCATGGCTGAATTTAATATACATCATATGGCTGATACATACATGTGCTAACCTGAAAGATAATTTACAGTACACCGTACATTATTTAAATGTACATAAACAGATCAGGTACAGTAATATCACAGTTTAAAGATAGTAGACACTACTATGTAGGCATACTCTTTAATCTATGGTAATATGTAGTCATTTTGTAGGGGAGTGGTTGATATAGGCCCCTTCTCCCACGCCTTAGAGGGAATGATAATAAGGGAATAAATTTGTGTACAAATGAAGGAGTCACATTATTTAGTTCAGATTCCTAAACGTTAGGTATTAAACGTTAAGGATTAAATTATAAATTCAAAATATGCTCGTATAATCAATCATCGTATTTTTTAACTAATGCATATATTTTATTTTAACTTCTTATATTATCTATTGACATTACTACAAAGTAAGCAATTACAAAAATTTATTTTTTTAAAGTATTCTTTGATTCAGTTTTTTTGTAGTGTCTATAACTTCTTTAAAATGATCAAGAGCTTGCAAATCAACTGTTCTTATTCAAATAGACAAAGACAATTTTTTAGAAGGGTATTGTTTAGAAGTCAATTTATTTCTTCTCTAAACTAAAAATAGGCATAGAGATCTAGGTCCATCATAATACGTATTGTGTGTAGGGTAATATTATTTCTATGGATATAACTCCGGAGATATTTTATTCCGTGTTCCAAGTTCTAGCTACACTACGTTTATTTTTATACTTCTATAATCGAGTATTTGTATTGTTTTGTCAAACTTAATGACAAAAAGAAAATGGAAAGGCAACTTACTGTAAGCAATTTAATCCTTTATGCCACATAAATTATGTCAATGTCAAATTAAGGGAGAAAATATAGTTTTATACTTTATTGCACTCAGTGATTAACTATTCAACTATGTACTACTAGATTTAAAAAAAATGGCTTAATCAGCCGATCAGGTTGGGGTTAGGGTTCACTTCAGTTCAGTATCCAACCCAACAGTGAATGTTAAAATATTTTATTCCTTGTTCATTTAAGTTTACATTTGGAAGTGTATCAATAACCGGAAGGATTCGCTAAGCCATGAGCCACCCCTACAGCCGCTTCCCTCTATGGCGCCATGCCTGGGGTGTTTTTGTTGCCACCGATACCAGTTCACCTGTTAGGACTCAAGGCCGTACAACTAGGACACCCCCCACTAGGCCATTTACCATTACTGCGACTAATTAGCAAGAGGGTGGTTCTGGTTTCACGGTTCGAGAAATCTCAACATTCTCTCTACCAAACGTGCACCGCCCAAAACTTTACAGCCCTAACCAATTGGTTTTCTGCACTGTTTAGATCCAACCGAGCATATTTTTATGTTTGCGAGTGGGGCACGTTTTATGTTGCCATTAATATCTCTCTAACCAACTGGCTGCAAAGGAAAACCTCACTGTGGTGGTCAGTTTAGGATTTTGTCCTAATTGCTGATGGGGTTTCTGTAATTGATGTTCTTAGTGAATATCCCTGTAGGAAAGAAGCTGTTACCGTAGGCGTGGCTAGACCTAGACCCAGGACAGATTTACTTTTTTGTTTTGATGTCCCAGAATAAAAAAAAATATTCGTAAACATTGTAATAACATGTAGGCTATATACTGTATTTTGGTCCGATATAAATTAAATTTCGCATAAACGTGTAGACCTGGACACACTTGAATTACTGCGCTAAAAAGAAAGATCGGGTGTTAAGAACGGCGTGTTATGGAGAAAAATATTGTTAATAGGCCAATAGTGGTTTTCAAATGTTTACCCTTGCACATGAAAACGGGAATGCGAAATACTATCCCCCGGAAACTACCCCCCCCCAGGTGAAACGTGACGTCACAAAATCTGCTAACTAACCAATATGGAAGCCGTGTCCGCGACTGGAATACTACCCCCCCCCCCCTAGACAAACTATGCTATGTAACTTTAATTTTAATTCTAGTAATTCCGTTGGATAATAGAAAAGGCATGTGGTGAATATAAAACAGATTTTCGAGATGTTACAACAAGTTTGGTTGGTTAGGTTAGGTTAGATTAGAACTGTTTGACAACTAAATTTGAGTGTCCGTGACTGGAAAACTGCCCCCCCCGGTCTCTGACGTCAATATGACGTAGGAACCTGCTTGGGGGGGGGGGTAGTTTTCCGGGGGGCTGTCTTCCGGCGACCCATGAAAACGCCCAATTTTCATTGTAACCATCGTCTGGAGCTTAGAAAGACAAATTGCTTTGTATATTGAAGCGTTGTTGAAGGATTAAATGTTATGGAGGATACAAAACAACTGTTCGTTTAAAATAACCGTGTTATTCTTATGGGGAAAAGTAAACTGTTCTAATTTTCTTGTTCTCGTCTATTACATTTTGTAGAGGATTTGTTTATGTAACAGCTTAATATTTCGAGGGGAATAGTGTTTTACCGGTATATGTCGAATTCAAACTAAAATGCCAATGATGCTAAAGACTTAGAAAATGGAAAATAGAATCAGAACCTAAGGGCCTAATTTTAACTGGTTCAGTGCAAACAATTACATTTTATATTGCTAATAAATCATAGCACCTGAAATGATCCAAATGGAAAAAAATTACTAACTTGAACTACAATAACAATTAAACATCGAATCATGTCATTGTTGGGTTGTTACCGTATACAGTATAAAGGTATTCAAGGGAACGAACTATATCAATGAACAGTGTTGATATAAGCATTGTTGTTGTTACAGTAGTTGAAACTATAGTATTGACACTTTAGATAGCTAGCTATACATACATTATCTCTTCACTAGCTCATACAGTCTTACGTTTCCTAGTTCTGATTTAGAATAACGTATAGTCCTACAACTATGTTTCTTTACATCGTCTGGTAAAACACAAGGCGCAGAAAAGTAGCCTTATAGAATTCATACTCCAGTAAGAGATTTTAACGCCATCTCCCAATTCCCTACTTACCTAAAGTATATAAATTGAAAAGGAAAATATACTTTATTCGAACTGACGAGCAGCTAATCCACTTATAAACTAAACAATAGGTACGAAGCATGAACAATCCTAGAAATAAGCCTATGAATAACATTGGTGACATTATTGAAACCAAAAGTACTCAAAACAGCTAATAACAAAATCATTTTCGAATTTGTTTCAAAAGCCGGAGGTTTGTGATTTTTAATTTTTTTAGCAATTCATACTATGAAGGAGTGCCAAGTATACATCTTTCTACTCCATTCTTAATCCTAGGTTTTGTGAAACTGTATTAACAGAGATAATTAAGGCCCAATTTAAGTTAAATGTTGTGTTTATTGGAAACACAAAAAATAGGCTTGTTTAAAAACGAGATTAATCCCCACACACAGCTGGTGCTAAATGCAATTACGTGTTTCATAATGAAACCTTACATACCAACATGAAGGTAATATCAACTTACCTTGAACGAATCTCTATGTGACATGGTAGGTGTAATCCCAAATATCCGCTAATCATGACTGCAAAACACTAAAGGCACAAACATAGTACAAAGGTCAATCCATCTCTACAGTCCCGTCATTTTCTGCGGGCGATTATTTCTGCGACGCGTACCATCAGCAATTCCTGGCGTTCGAGTTTCCGGGCGTGCGATTGAAAAAACCAATTGGCGATCGGCGAGGACATAAAACTAGGAACTGCGAAATACCACGGTCGGCTACGGTCAAACGAGTTCCAGCTAGGCAAGTTAACACGTAGATTCTCAACAAACGTCACTATTCTCAGTCTGCCACACTGTCAATGTTCACTGACGAACTACATCTGTCACACATTCACTACAATATCACACAGTTCACAGTACACAGAACACAGTGCAGAGCGACGTAGATGCTCACACCTCGACTTCTCTCCACTCACTCTCTGTTCCGCTCCCGCTGTGGCACCGCGCGCCGGCCACCGCATTCCTGTGTCGCCGCCATATTGGAATGTGGCTAGCCATCTTCGCCCTGCGATACGGAGCAGCTGACTCCACTTCCACCTTCCTTGGAGCTCTTCTCCTCTCACTCCTCTCGTCCTCACGCTTTCCGATTCGCAAATATTTGACTATAGAGAAACTATTGATAACGGGTTTGCAAAGGTAGAGTCGGTAAGCCACGGGGTGTCCGACAGGTATGAGTACTCAGAAGGCTAAGTACAGTCGGAAAGCTATGGGGTGTCCGACGGGTGTGCGTATTGCGTATACAGTAGGCTAAGTACAGTCGGTAACCTGCTGGGTGTCCGAAGGGTATGAGTACTCAGAAGGCTAAGTACAGTCGGAAAGCTATGGGTGTCCGACGGGTGTGCGTATTGCATATTCAGTAGGCTAAGTACAGTTGGTAAGCTACGGGGTGTCCGACGGGTATGAGTACTCAGAAGGCTAAGTACAGTCGGGAAGCTACTAGGTGTCCGATGGGTATGAGTACTCAGAAGGCTAAGTACAGTCGGAAAGCTATGAAGTGTCCGACGGGTATGCGTTTTGCCTATTCAGTAGGCTAAGTAAAGTCGGTAAGCTATGGGGTGTCCGACGGGTATGAGTACTCAGAAGGCTAAGTACAGTCGGAAAGCTATGAAGTGTCCGACGGGTATGCGTTTTGCCTATTCAGTAGGCCAAGTAAAGTCGGTAAGCTATGGGGTGTCCGACGGGTATGAGTACTCAGAAGGCTAAGTACAGTTGGAAAGCCAACGTGTCTTGTGTTTAGTTGTGTTTTGTTCAGTGTTTTTTGTGTGTTTAGTTACAACTAAACGCAACATGATAAAAAAAGTTAAAAGTTAAATGAAAAATACAAAAATGTAAAGTACAGTATAGTGTAGTTTACTTGCCAATAATTCTCTTTTAGGCATTTTTATATTTTTCAATTAAGTTTTAAATTTTTGTTGCATTATGTACTTGATTTTTTATTGTTGTATATAATTTATATGTTGTTATATATATAGTTATTTATTTGTTATTATATGTAAATAGTTGTTTTCAGTAAGCAGTTTTTTGACTCAATACCTTTTGAGTGCCAATTAAGAATGTAGAATAGTAGTATCCTATTCTCACTTGCATAACGGGATGAGTTGATCCACCTCCAGAAACGTTACTATACTGTACTTACAACATTACAACTAAACACACACAGAAAAAAACACTGAACAAAACAGAACTAAACACAAGACACGTTGGAATAGTCCAATTAATAATAATAACATAAGGCTCCGCTCCTTTCTACCGTACGGATCCAAAACTAAATTGTTGTTGATTCACGTAAATATAGAAAACATTCATACGAAACCCCAATTAATGTGTAAAGAAATAGAACACCGAACTAATATGTAAAAATTGGAGGACTCATATAAACAGAAAGGCCCACAACATGAGAATATAACTGTCACTTTTCATGGTGAAAAATAGAATGATGGTAAGAATCAACAGGTGTATACTATAATACAAGGTGATTATAAATTGCACAGGATGAGATTTTCTCGGAATGTGATTTATTAGCTACAAAAGTTCATATACGAGTTCACTTAGATCAGGCAACGCTTCGTTAGGGATTGGCACATTGAATTGTTGTTGTTTTGGTTAATTAGGGGCATCTTGAGTTTCTGGGCACATATATTGAGAGCTCAGTTTAAGTGTTTCTTATAGTTTTTTGACATGACGAATTCAATACAATTGAGTGATTCCTTGAACTGCAGGTTGAGCTGACAACTTGTAACGTAAACGATTTAGCGATAGTTTGCCAGAAAACTATTTTACTAAGATGTGTTTGATTTTTCGCAGGATAATCTTATATTTAGACAACATACTTAACAGAAAGCGTGATTTTGACCGTGCAAAACATTAAAAAAGGATTGGATGTTTGTATCCAAACCTTATACAGGGTGATTTGTACTCAGTGTGACAAAATATTTTGGTGTTAGTACAAAGTAAATGAAGTGTGATGATGCATATCAAATGTTCCAAGTCTGAAAATTATCTTCCCAAAAAAATATTTTATGTTTTTCAAAAATAACCATGCTTTTAAACTTAATACAGCGAACTCTCAATTACCTGTATATGGATTTGAGTAGATAATGTCATTTTCGTGTACTACATTAAATCTTAAACAAGAATAATGGAAAATGACGGAGGATCAGTTGTAAAAACTCCATTGAAAATAGATTAGAAGATAAAAATTAAGTTGTTTGATAAAAATTAAAAAAAAACAATGGTCTATTGCATTTTCACACCCTGTATACAAGAAAGTGACGGAATATGTTAAAAACTGCGCCATTTTATAAGCTTTCCAACCATATGCTACACTATTGAGGTTTATGTCTGCTTATATACGCTTTAATGGTTTGAAGACTACAAAGCATGGTGTCTTTAACATTTAAAACATAGAAAGTCGGCAAGCAAAAGTTGTATTTTTGTTTCAGCTTAAACAGTAAAAACAGTAAAAAAGTTCTTTGTTTTCTGGTATTCAAACCACTAAAACAAACAATAAAATATCTAAACCTCAATAGTGTAGCATATTGTTGGAAAGCTTATAAAATGGTGCAGTTTTTAAAATATTCCGACACTTTCTTGTATATAGGGTGTAAAAATTGCAATGGACAATTGTTTTTTAAAATTGTTATTAAACATCTTAATTTTTATCTTTGAATCTATTTACAATGTAGTTTTTATAACTGATCCTCCGTCATTTTCCATTATTCTTGTTCACGATTTTATGTAGAACACGAAAATGACATTATCTACTCAAATCCATATACAGGCAATTGAGAAATCGCTGTATTAAGTTTAAAAGCATGGTTATTTTTGAAAATCATAAAATAATTTTTTGGGAAGCTAATTTTGAGACTTGGAACATTTGATGTACATCATCACACTTCATTTACTTTGTACTTACACCAAAAAATTTTGTCACACTGAGTACAAATCACCCTGTATACCTCAGTTTTGATGTTTGTTAGTTTTCACGTCCAGTGCCTTACAGGTATATAAGGTCATACCTTATACAACAATCCCTCTAAACATATATACCTACATATACACATACATACATATATACACATATATAATATATATATATATGATTGGGCCTTATATAGCCTACCTTACAAACATCCAAATATATCCAAACAAAAAAATGTGCGAACTGAAGATTGAGCAACATATGTAGGCCTATAGAATAAACCACGAATCCTTGAACAGAATCGGTATGGATCATAAACATTAACAAATAACATTGCTGGTATAAATCCTATACTAACAGGATTTAGACAGTTCCATTAAGCAATGTTAAATAACAGTATTTGTTCATGTTTATGATCCATACCGTGTATGTTCTGGTATTTGTGGAAAAAACCTAGTTAATTTAAGACCCGGGATTAAAAGTGTGTATTACCTAAGACAGTTTTTTAAAGAAGCCGTTTCAGTTCAGTTCTTAGAATTGACAATTTCACATAGCATTTCTTACTTTCATGACAGCATAGTTTTACTCACAACAACACGGGACCAATGAGGTTTAAGGATTGAGAGAGAAGAAGTAAAATTGTTATGATTCGAACTTCAACTAATCAGCTGTTCAGGCCAATTTAATTGTTGAGTGGTGAAATTAGTGTTTGGTACAATGTTTCGTTACATCACTGTCAGTGGAAATGAGAGGCTATAAACGAAAACATAACCTCTCTTAGGAGTTATGAGTAGTGATCTTTAGTAATTAAAACACTGTCGTAGGTAAAGTAGTGTACGCAACTCGCGTAAATAGTGTTAACGCCACGAGTTGAAAATTTAAGGTGCGAACCTTTTCTATTTCGAAACACACTGTTTGTAACAATATTAGTCCCCTTGATAATCAGTAGTAACTGAAATATTCAAGTATTTTATTCTTGCGTTTATTTTATTTCTTATATTCCATGTTATCCTTATGGAGAATAAATGAACTGCCGTAGGCCCTACATTACTACTTTATGGATATGTGTTCATTAAATACAGCAATTTTGTTTCCTCAGGTTGTAGATATTTAACCATTTAATCAAACATCTTTAGCGACAGCTTTAGCAGAAAACCAAAGAACTAATTTAGCAGATGTAGCATGTGTGCTTATGATGATTGAGATATTTAAATATCAAGATTCTTCGGGCTGGATCGGTATTGTAGTGTGACTAATCTATGTTTCAGTTCATATGTGTTGTATTACAGCGACAATATAGTATGTTTATAGTAACATGACTAACTCTGTTTCTTCAACTTTACCAATGGTACATTCTTAGGAGAAGAATTTAAACATAATTTGATTAGGGATTAATGAGCAAAAAACATACGATATAATGTGATCTACGTAAAGGCAAAAAGTGGGCTTTTACTTGAAATAGTAGTTTACGCAACGATTGCGTTAAGTTAGTATTTACGACACGAGTAGAAAATTTAAGGCACGAGCCTTGGCGAGTGCCTTAAAAACATCTAAGAGTGTCGGAAAGACTATTAACGCGAGTTGCGTACACTACTTTACCTACGACCGTTTTTTAATTACTAAAAATCTGGTTTTTATTACTAACAATCACTACTCATAACTTCCTAGAGAGGTTATGTTTTCGTTTATTGTCATTGTCACTGAAAGTGATGCAACGACTTATTGTATAATCAGCTGATTTCATGTAATTACGTGTTTGTAAAACTTTGTTAAATGATACGTTACTTTTACAGGCAATAGGTTCTGCTAGCAGCATTCTTACCATAAATACTGTATCAGGTACAATTAGGGAAATATTGCATATATTTTTGGACAACTGAATAATATAGTGAAACAGTTAATTTACAGTTAGATCTCAGCATCGAATATGTGGTCCACAACGAGTTGGGTGAAAAAGTGGTTTTCAAAATAAACCAGAAGAACATTTTCATTTAA